CTAGGTGTTGATTATTATATTAGTCATAATAATAGAACTAACGTACCAAACATTATGGTGGCTTCCTTGTGAGGCTTAGGGAATGGATAGGATTCATTTCTCCTTGGGAGAATAATGATAGGACCATAAACAGATGCCCTAAGCCAAGAGACATGAGCATGCCAAAAAAGAGTCCCTCTTTGACCTTTGATCGTAAAGTTGTACACATAACTATTGTTTATCTGAATTGGACATTGTGTTATGTAACCTGGACCGTCTGCCCATGGGCTCCCTAGTTGTCGAACACCATGCCTATAATATGAAATGATTATTAGTTTACAAAGTGAAATGTTCAAGGCATAATCCACGAGTTATCTCTCATTAATACTTGTATATAACATCAAAATTTATCACTAGCTTTAATTTAATTTATCTTACCAGTGGATTGAAACATTGTTCTTGACATGGTTTACAACTTTTACAATGACTCGATCACCCTCCCTAGCAATGATTCTTGGCCCAGGGAACTTGCCATTCACAGTGATCATGCTCTTTGTCTTGCACAAATGTGTCACATTTTGCAACTTTATCTACAAAATCATAATGCACAATCCAAGGGGGAAAAAACACTTTATACTCGAGCAATTAATTAAAATCATTACATAAAAAGAAGCATCATAAGATAAAAATATCATACTAATCATATTAATTTCATTGGCTAATAAAAAAGTGAATTAAAAAAAGAGTACATACATCAAATCTATAGTGCCTTGTCACTCCATGACACAACCAAAAATTGGCAATAAACAAAAGTAGAGTTGCATAAAATGCAGGAGAATAAAGAAAACGAGCACCCATATATTTTTTTTTTCCTTAGAATAGAGAATTGTGTGTAGATGTTATTGGATGATTATTTTGTGCAAGTTTGGAGTGATTAGTGAGAGTTTAACATAGTTATTTATATAAGAATGATGTGGTAAAGGTATGTTTGGGTTGGGTGCGCAATTAGGTGATTAAATTTTTTGAGGGACTTGTCACTCACCCTTGAGTGCTATTCAAGTCAATATTATAAGGTCGTAATATCTCCTAATATTTTGTCAATTGGAAGTTGTTCTATCTTCTATAGCTTCAAGTTATAACTTTCCATTTTTGTTTTGGACCACTAAATGAGTTATTTCTATGTTATCTAACCATTTTTACTCAAACACGTACTTGTATAGCTGTATCTTTAATTTCATTAACATTACTAGATATATGTATGTACCTAGATACTTTATTTTAGTTATGTTTTTGTAACTCAGTCTGAAATTCTAGTACTCTAACGTTTCTGAATGACATTTCTTTTAATGTAAAAGTGAATTTTAAACTACCTTAGTTTTTTTTTTAGTTGACACGTTTTGATTTTAGCACTATTCACTCACTCCCTTTTAACTGTTTTTTGTGCTTTATACCTAATGAAAAATATAGTCATGTAGGATCTTGTTAGATTCGTCACGATATATATTTTCAAATATCAACTTTTCATAATTTTTGTTTATCGGTAATTAGAGATATTAATGGTTGAAGTTGTGCATTGACAAACATAACTAAAGAAACGTGTCAAATAAAAAGAAACGGAGGAAGTATATGTTGTACAAGATTATTAACTGTAACATGCAATGTAACGTAGCATAGCTCAATGGATACATCTAGTGTTCATATACTTCAAATTAATTGGAAGGCCATTTAAAATTGACAATGTATGTGCAAAAGATAATAAAAAAAATGATCCAATTATGAAATCATGAATTTCACACGAAAATAAAAGTTACCTCATGCTAAATATGCATTGAATATGTTTTACCTCCGATCCTATGAAGGACTCAACATGCGGGGTATCTTGAATCTTGATAATGTATCTGCTGTTATCTCAGGTTGCAATTTTTTGTTCAAACTAATTTTCAGGGCTTATACATTTTGTTTTCGGTTTGGGAGTATTATATAAACTACCTAGGTTTTAACACAACCTATTTGTAATATGTACTTTTCTTAAGATTAATAAAATTTCACAAGGTTTTATATGTGGCTGGCCACACCGTGTAGCCGGGATTACTTGGTCAGGAGTTATCCGATCAATGTTTTGATGTGGTCACACGGTGTGACTAGCCACACTAAAAACTCGTTGATCAAGCTTTATGTGTCTATCCATAGATATACATAAAACTAACATATTTTTAGTGCATGAACCCCGTAAATTTATGTATTATTCATTAATTTTTCTTATTCCTTCATAACACAACTATTATCCAATTAACGTATATCAAGTCATTGTTCAATTCCAAAGACTAAGAAACATTGCCTCAATAATAACTATATTTTTTTAACCTATCTTATCCCAAGTATAGTAGTTTTGGACGTTGAATCTTGCTATATTGATGCAAGCATGTTGATTTGAAAATATAAAAAATAATAATTAGCCTTAGTACGTAATCAAGATGCTAAATCTAACCATCCTTAGTTTAGAAATAATGCTTTAAATTTGGTAATGGTTTTAGTTCGAGAGAGAGCTAATTAAGGTCCCACTAATAAGCACAAGTGTAAGTGTGAATTTGCGTTCACGTTCTCTGTCTCTCGTTTAGAGAAGGACATTTTATCCGCCTTTCCTGTTGTCTACGCTTTTTTTTTTCCTTCATTTTTTTTTTCTTTTATCGTTTTATTATTTTAGTTGTCAAACAATTAAAAATTAGTAATTGAGTTCAAGTGTCACTAGTAAGTCAAACCTTGAGTAGTATAGACCATAGATATTACTAGTTGAGATGTTATTCGATTAACACTACATTTTTATTTTCATTTTTGAAAATCTATAGCATTCCTTCTTAAAATGACTACCACTATATTATTCATTTTTAATTGGTTGATTTTTAATTATGTTTTTTTGTTGGTCAGACTTATTAGAAATGATTTTTCTTTTGACTGCATTGTGTAATTTATACGTTAATTAGGAAAAATATGCTCACATGAGGTCTTGTTAGCTTCGACTCTATACATATTTTCAAAACATTAACAAATTAAATTTTCATAATTTTTACAAAAGTATGACTACAGAAACATCATTTGGAGCTTTTTCTCATAGAAAATAGACTTGTTAATTAGAGTGTTGAAGTATATATCAATCCCAAACGCAAGTAGTAGTAGTCCGTAGTAGTTTGTAGTTACACCAACCATGCACCTTGTATGACACTCTACCTTGCTTTCTACTGTACTCAAGGATAATTAATTAATTAATTAGATTATTAAAGGCCCTCACAATAAGCTTGTCATACAATTATTATGTGCATGCATGCATGTAAATTGCGCGTCAACAATATTACTATAATGTCATTATATTGTGACAATATCTATTACGCAGTAGCTAGGTTACAACTATGTCTTCTTATATAGTTTTTGTCCATTAATAACAGTTTAGATTTACAGCACATAAGCAAATTAAACTTTATTAGCTCTAAAATTTTTGCCTAATCAATTTTAATTAGGGAAAGTTGAAGTAACTAGCTAGAAAACCAAAAGTAGTAGCTAGAGCTTATTTAGAATAAAGTTATTTGTTGACCCCCTTAAATTAGCTCTCTAATCCCACTACAACTCCTAAAATTTGGTAAAGTTTATCTGATCTGCAACTTGATGAACTTCTATCTTGTCTGTCAACTTCCATTACCAGTCGTTTCTGTAAATGACAAGACAATGATTTGTTGAAGTTAATTGTTTGTTAGATTTTGTTATGATTGACTTCATCTTCTGTTAGCTTGATTTATTCATTCGTCTCACAAATTTTGGGCAATGTACTCCTACCATGTTAAAAATAATCTATCTATTTCCAATTAGCAAAGTAATGTATCCTAATGTTTTCTTTTTCGATGCTTTTTCTGTGTGGCTGGCCACACCATGTGGCTGGGTTACTTATTCAGGGCCTACTTATAAGGGTTACTTAGTCGGTCAAAGGTTACTTATTGTGAGGCAACTCAATCGGTTAGCGCGTTTTTGTCGGGGTTACTCAGTCGGTCAGGGGTTACTTATTCTAAATTTACTCAGTCGGTTAGTGCTTTTTTGTGTGAGAGTAACCCCTGACCAACCGAGTAACCCCTGAATAAGTAACCCGACCACATATAAAAATTTGTATCTCTTTTTTCTTAACTGTTGAAAAAAATTAATCAAAGTAACTAATGTAATTACTAATGAAGTAATGAGATCTTAACCTAATGGTTAAGATTGGGGATCTGCAGATCTGCCGTAATAGGTTGCAGGTTCAAATTTCCCCACCCTCATTTGCAATGTAATTTGTATTGCCCGTGTTGTTATTCTGCCAGGAAAAAAAAAAATCCTAATGTGGCTAAAATAAATTACGGAGTATTAAAGTTCCAAAAAAAATATATATATAATAATATCATAGTACTTTATTCAAAAATAAATAAATAATATCATAGTACTCCGTAACTAATGCTAATGGCTGAGGCTGAGGCTGATACTGATTCCTTTTGTAATGGCTACGGAATGCTGTAAAAAAGAGGGCCATGGATTTTCTTAAAAATGATAAAAATTTCGAGTTGGACTGGGCAGTGGTCTTAATGTGAAGCCAAATTGCAGCCCAAATTTATGGGCTCAGTTCATAATTTAAAAAAAAAAAAAAAAAAAAAATACAAGTACTTGTGATATAAATGAACATTTGTAGTCAAAAATCTTGTTAGCTTATTTTTTCCAAATAATCTTTCCATCATTATACCATAATACATTAATAACTTACTTGTATTTGTATATACAATCACTTTGATTATATATTTTGACTTTAAAATAGACTAATAGAGTAAGTTGTGCATATCATCTTTTAACGTATGTTTGGGAGACCCTATACTAAAATTAAATTTTTCAAGAGACCAAGTTAACCTAAAACATACATATGAAAGTCAATGATTGGCTACGTAGTAATGTAGATCATGGAGATTGGAGAATTTGTCAATCAAGAATAAGTCTTGATTAATTAATTAGAGGTCTTAGACTGAAATCAAACGCCTTTTTTCTTATTATTGAAAGTAAAACTTAGGAAAATCAAATGTTACAAAGCCGCCTTTATTATTCTACATTTACAAATAATTAATTAAACTCCTCAGCTGGCTTTTACAACTTTCAATCCTCACTCAAGCAAAATCCCATAACAAACGAAAGCTGAAATTCAAATAAATTCAATTCCTCTTTTTAACAATCAAAATGGCAGAAGGCCAGGCTACGGTGTGATCGATCAGTTAGCATTTCGGAAGGTCGGCGGGCGGAGGTGGCAGCTTCTGATTGGGTAGCTTGCCGTCGAGGACAATCCAAGCCATCCTTAGACCCCAACTGATGTGCACCTCAAAATGGCAATGCATGAACCATACCCCTGTTTCATAACCGGATATAGTAAGATCTTCATTATTTCTTAATCATAATATTAATTATATTATCATCTTTTATTTTGTGACCATTTTATTTATTTTATTAAGCATGAAATCTACAAGAAAATGATATCTTGATAGTACATGTTCATTGCTTTATATTAAAACTTAGGTTAATGTGGACACTTGTTTAGTTGTCATATGGTTTTCAATTATTAATTGGTTGAATATTAGCCACATTTACTAATTTGTATGCTAGCTAATTAATTAAAGAGAATTTTCTAGCTATCTAATTGAGTTTATATTACTCCGTACATCATTGTGATTATAAAATCAACTTCTCTACCTATGTATGTACCTCGTTAAGACCTATGATGCCTACACCCGTGTTTAATTAGTGAATAGTCGAATACTGATTTTTACTGAATAAAACCGATATATAAGAGTTAATTTTCGTAATTTCGATTGAGAGAACATAACCTAAAATGACTATAACCAATTATATTGGAATGTGTTACACTAACCTGGATTATCAGCTCTAAATCGAATAGCGACCCAACCACCAGAAGGCACGGCCACCGTGTTCCTTTCAACAGGATCAACAAGATTATAGTTGGCAGGATCTTTTCTAGGGTTAAAGTTACCATAACCTTGACCGACAACATAGAAATTGTAGCCATGAAGGTGAAGAGGGTGACTCTCAGCACTAACAATGCTAGTGTCCTGCATAACAACCTCAACACTTGTGTTATAAGGGATCACAACAGTTTCAGTAGCATTCATCACATTGGTGTTGTTCGGGGGCGTGCCGGTGTAGTTAAACTCTTTGAGAGGGAATTGAGGGAAATTGGTCTTGTAAACCCCATCATTTTGGCCAAAGAAGTGGGATTGAAGCATGGCAGTTGATGGAAGAGCCATAGAGATGTTGTTAACTGTGGCCGCGAATTTAGTGTTGTTATTAGGCCCTTGGCATGTTTGGTTCTTAGGGCAAGGGCTAGTTCCAAGTCCTACTGTGAAGAAGAAGTTTTTATCAACTTTTTGTGGAACATCAACGGGATATTTAGCATTGTTCAAACTTCGAAACTTGTTACTAAAATTGGCTACAAATGAAGTGTCATTGATTGAAGGTAGACGAGGGAGATCTTTGGATGTAACGTTAATGATCTTGTGAATGGATGAGGGCTTTGGTGGCATTTCGTACTCTAGTATGGCTGCCGCGGTTGTGTTGTCAAATGTGCCACTGCCGGTAAAGTAGGGGCTAATCGCCATTAGGTAAGAAGCGTGGCTTGGAATAGGCTTGGTTTTAAGGAGAACATTGGTTGTTTGGCCTGGTGTGATGAGAAGAATGTCAGTTTCAAATGGCTTAAGGTAGAGTGCATCGGCTTCAACCAATGTCATGGTGTGGTTGGCTATACTGAAGAACAAATCGTCGTTGAGTGCAGCATTGATCAAACGCAAGAGGTAAGTTTTCCCTGGCTTGACCTTTAGCTTGTATGTATCTTCCAAACCTAATAAACAGCAAAATTGAAATTATAAAGGTTGGTTCTTATAATTAAGGAAAGCAAAATGTTATTAGGCATATCAAATTAAGCACCTCTAGCCCCTGTACATGAATTGTACAATGGCCCTGGATATCCATTGAACGTATAAGCATCAGACACGTTAGGGCCTCCTCCACTCTGAAGAGCTTGACGAATAACTGCTTCAGTGTCATTGTACCACCACTCTCCTACACATTTTTTCGTGCACCACGCAACGTGATTAGTATCATACAAGTGTGCATAAAATAAGGGTTTGTGCTCTTATGTTTAACTAAATGAGTAAAAAATAAGGGTTTGTGCTCTTATGTTTAACTAAATGAGTAAAAGATTTGAGCGCGATATATACCAAGGATGATGGTTTTCTCCTCATGGGGCTTAGGGAATGGATATGGTTCGTGTTTCTTAGGGAGGATGATCATAGGTCCATATAGAGTAGCCCTAAGCCATGAGATGTGGGCATGCCAAAAAAGAGTCCCTCTTTGTCCTTTGATTGTGAAGTTGTACACGTAACTGTGATTACTTTGAATTGGACACTGTGTTACGTAGGCCGGACCATCCGCCCACTGACTCCCTATCTGTCGGATTCCATGCCTATACATGAAATTTCATCATCATTATGCAAACAACAATTAGTGCAAATTATTATTAATTGCACATAATTTATAATTATTGTTCAAATTAACTTGTGGCTAGCTGGCCTTATATTTGACAAATCGTACCAGTGGATGGAGACATTATTTTGGACATGGTTAACAACTTCAACGACAACTTGATCGCCTTCTCTAGCAACAATTGGAGGCCCAGGGAACTTGCCATTGACAGTGAGCATGGTCTTTGTCTTGCACAAGTGTGTTACATTTTGCAATCTTACCTACAAAGTCATAATATAAAGTTAATAACTTTATAATATATGTTATTAATCAATTCAATCATACAATATGATCAAATTATTAACTAAAGAGGTTGATATAAGACAAAATTATAATGATGCATGATCATAGCAATTAATATAATTGGTACATAAAAGAGGGGACACATACATCAAACGTATAATGCCTAGTTATTCCATGACAATGCCAAACATTGTTGGCCAGGAAAAGAAAAATGGCCGCAGCAAATGCCGGTAAGGAAAGAGTGGAAGCCCCCATAGATCTTCTATCCCGAACTCGATTTCGATCTCGATCTTTATGATACTTGTTGATACGTTGTTGTGGAAGTGAAGAGAGCCTAAGTTAGAGTTTAAAACAGTAGTTTATATAGAAGTCACAAGGTGAGGAGTTTGTGCCAAGGTTGAGTAAATTAAAATCAGGCTTTTGAATTAAAGTCCCTCTCGATCACTATAGAGTGCTATACAAGACAATTTTACATGGATATTTGACCCTATTATATTATCATTCCGAAGATGTTTATAACCTTCAATTCTTCATGTAATAAATTTTATAAGAGCACAAATGATATTAGAGCTGGCAATTTTTGACCCAATTACTTAATATTTTGATTCTAACCCAACTTAAAGTTATCGAGAATTTTAGATCCAATATATATGAATTAAACATAAACCATCTAAATGTTTTATTGTGTTGATATTAAGGTTCTATTTTGATATTTTTAACCAAAATCAAACCCGAATTTGATCCGTCCCTATTTCTATATGTGAATATGCCAATATGACTTGTATGGATTAGATCAACACTAAAATAACTTAATATCATAATTAACATAAGTAATCTTAGCTTAATGAATATTATTACATCATTCTAGCAATTAAACCATCCCTTTACATGATCATTATATTTGTGGGGTGCGCAAATTTGGTAAAATTAGCGTGAATCAGATATTGTTCAAATAGGAAAATATATATTTGAATGTAAACGGAGCTTTAAGGAGTTAAAGATTGATCGAACACATGACACGGCATGAGGAGGACATTTTATCTGCCTTTCTTTCAAGCAAGATAAAGATGATAAAAGATTACTAACTGTTCTTGTCAACTGATTTTTTTATGTCAAATTAATTCCACCAGTAAGAATTAATGCACATTAAACTTCGCTTTCTTCTTTTTTTTTTTTTGGGAAATGAATAGTCAAGCTCGGTATACTAATCATAAGAAAAAGAATTATTATTTCATATTTGAAATTAAAAATAAAAAAAAAATAATAATAAAAAAAAACCTTCATATATAGTACGGAGAATAATTATACTCGGTACTACTTTATGCAAAAAAAAACTAGGAAGATTACATAAAAGTTTCTAAGAGCATGTAATTTTATTTTTGGAGGGGAAAATTTTAAACATAAAATTTTAGATGTCCTTTTTTTATTACTTAGTATCCGTGTTGGTTATTACTTCAGAACTCGTAATTATTACGGAGTATAAAATTGAGTTTTATATTTGTGATTATAATTGTTGGAAAATAGATTATTAATTTATTAGTACTGAATAGAAGTAGCCATAAAAAATACTCATACAAAGTAAGTATTATTACGGATTGGAGTATAGATAATGGTTTCAGGACTAATCTATACTTAGTATATAAAAACTCTAACCAAGAAAGACACATGTCCCCATCCTATTACACTTCTCTATCTTCTTCTCTAACCAAAGTGCCACATGTCTTCTTACATTATTAATTTTTTATTACACTATCTTTGTTTAATTCTTTCATTAAACTTATACATCATCTTCCATGCACACTTCATCCCTTCATCTTCATCTCTCCTCCTCAATTCAACTTTTTCCTATTCTCTCTTTAATTTTAGCCCCCCATCCTTCTATTTAAGCCTCTTTTTCAATTAAAGTTCCAAAATTTTAATTTCTTTAATCATGTTTCCAATTACATATTATACTCCATAATGACTTATTGATATTTCCTCACTCATCTCTAAATGCAATTTTATATGAATGAATAACCCGTGCATTGTACGGGCCAAAAGGCTAGTTGAGTTATAAATCTTATTATTATCTCAACTATATTTAAACTATGTGTTATTGCATACTCAACTCAAATATACCTAACTTGAATTGAGGGTGTTTATTTTGTGTTTTTTTATTTTCATTACTTTTTCTCGTGTTTGCTAAATATAACAACTCCGTAAATTTGGAGCTCAAATAATGCAATATGATATTCAAAGTAATTAAAATATTGTACAATAACACTGATATCTTGAATAAATGTAATTGTAGTTTGTAGTTGCAACAACTTCGCACCTTGTTTGGCACTCTGAATTTACGCTTGGTTTGTACTGTACTCAAAGGAGATTAATTAGACCGTCTATCAAAACCTAAGTGTTCGTTCTTACTATATACTGTATTTTTATGCATGCATGCATTCACATGGGACGTGAAAATGACGATTTTATCGAGTATTGGCCGAGTATATCTAGAATATTATCAATCCCTTCATTTTTGTTTATTATTAAGGAAACCAAAAAAGATTTCTTAGTTAAAAAGCTTCAAAAATGTTCTAGGATGATGGAGTAGGTGTAATATAGTTGCTTTGTATGTACGTAGTATATATACTTTATACTAAGTAAACAAAAGACTATTGGCTAACTAAGTAATGGCCCTATGGGCAAGCAAAAGCTTGTATTATGCATGATTTAGCCTAATCTGGTCTAATCAAGCTTCATAAGTTAAAAGTATCAAAGGAGATAGATTTGTGTTAATATATGTTAAATTGAAGCCCTTTGACCTTTGTGTCACGTTTGCTTGAATACCATATTAGTGAACCAATTAAACCAAAAGCTTAAGCTAATGGTTGAAGCCCTAGGTTGATTTATATACCCTACCAATATATACTTTTCAAATATGACATTTTCATACTTCCAATGATTACTAAATTGCAAAATGTTGTGATTTGAGTTAATTTAATCTAATATGATCTGATCTAATCATTTCTGAGATAATTAATTAAGGAAATACGATAGGATCTAATCATTTCTGAGATAATTTAAGTTGAACTCATAGTCAAACGTACCTTCATAACTATGGTACACGTATTAAATCCTTTATGATGAAGATTTTAAGCAATAAGATTTATTTTCCTTGGGACATTCTGTTAACAACTGAACTGCTGTAAACAATAAAAACAGAACAATGTTACCGGGAAAAAGACTGAGTCGCGGACTATGTCGCTCTCTTTAGAACATTCACGGTACTGCCCTTTAATTTGTGCAAGCAGCTCGTACAACAACCGGATGCTCCCCAGGATAAAACAGTCTCTCGTAACAAAAGATATACCGATGGATTTGCACAGAACCACCGGACAACGAAACACCAAAACTAGGAACAATGCTCGAATTATTTCAGAAAGGGTTTGTGGAAATTATTTCTGAAAAATGTAAACTGTAAAACGTTTTGTGAATTATGAAGAATAGTTTCTGAATTTTTTTTTTTTTTTTGTGTTAAAATCAGTGAGGGAGAGCAGCTATTTATATTGGCTGAAAAACGAATGTGGACGGTTTAGCAGAATGTATCTGGTCGGTTTCAGCAAGCAATTAACGGACGTAATTAAGGGCTTAATTCACGTTAATTAGCTGTTGCAAAACGGATAACCGTTACAGAACAGTGAAATAAAAAAAACGGGCAAAAATGAAAACAGTAATGGTTAAGGATTGATTATGAAATCTGTTACAAAATCAAGGAATTAATCCTTGTTCAAAAATATAAGCAGTTTAAGAAATCCAATCCAACCCGGCCCGATTCGGCTCGGTGCGCGTGTGTTACATTGGTTTGGTAGGTAAGTCCTTCCTCTCCACAAAATGTGGGTAGCCCAAGGGCCACACCCCTTTAGAAGACACATACCTATATAAACCAAGCAACACTCTCACTTCCCACCAATATGGGAGTTTACCATTTTCATAAATTCACACTTAAAACAACTTTGTTCCAACACATTCCAATAAATTATGGTCTAATAGATCGGCAGGATAATATACTCCGTACTAGAACTAGTATTTTTTTTATTAATTTTTGTAATAAAATAAATTTAAAAATTGAAAACTAATTTAACGAAAAAACACTTTTGCCAACAATAAGGGTGGAAACAATTTATAATGTATTCCTTTTGGTTCCTTTTTCCTCAAAAAGCTCATACTACTAGAACTACCCGCCCCAAATAAAATTTGTCACTCCAATAAAAGCTGTCACTAGTTCTTCCCTACCCCATATAAAATTCTATCTTATCTAAGTTAACACCTCACTTACTTATAATCTCTCTTCATTAGATAGTATTCCCAACTATTATATATTTATATTTATTGATTCTAAGTAAGAGAGGCATAAGAATCTAATTAAATAATTAATGGAGAGCCCTAACCAAGAAACATCAAGTCACATAAGAAATTGTTTTAATGCTAAGTTTGAACATTTTAAGACTAATGTTGGTGATATTTCGAAGTTAACTAAGCAACTTGCTAAAGATGATTCTAGGAGAATTGTTCACTCCATCAAAGTTGGGTTTGCCATCACATTGATCTCACTCTTCTACTACTTTGATCCTTTCTACAACGGCTTGGGTGTCGATGCAATGTGGGCCGTTCTCACCGTGGTGGTTGTCTTCGAGTTCTCTGTTGGTAAGTGTTAAACATATTATTACTTGTACTATAGCTTAGTGATCATTTGTTAGACATGTACTTATTAGACAATTAATACGTAGTTAGGGAGTTGCATTTTCTAGAATGTGATTGTTTGATTGTGTATATAACATATTCCTAGACCCCTCAACCATCAAATTAAGTTTTTGGTTGAGTTGGTCGTCCTTTAATAAATTACGTTGTACCTTGCGGAGTGTACTAGGTAAGCAATGCAACTTGATAGCACTGCACAAACCCAATAATCTCATAACTCCACAACCAATGATTTTATTTGATTGAGTTGGTCGTCCTTTAACAGATTATTATGTACTTATTAATTCGTGTATCATGATGACTAGTATCATGTATATATAGGTGCAACGCTAGGGAAAGGGGTGAATAGAGTGGTTGCAACAGTTCTAGGGGGATTTTCAGCAGTTGGAGCTCACAAATTATCCAGTCTTCCTGAGGAGAAACTGCCTAAGCTAGAGCCTCTTTTCCTTGGACTTTCCGTCTTTTTAACAGGTAAATAAACTACAAAATCATGACACGTTCATCAAAAAACCGTTATATTAGTAGCCGGGGTCATTTGGTAAGCAATACGAAGTAATAAATAAGTTGCATTAATAGTAATGAGTTTGTATGTAATTTTGATGTGCAGCCGGAGTAATGACATTTATACGATTTTTTCCAAAGATAAAGGCGAGATTTGATTATGGACTATCGATATTCATATTGACATTCAGTTTAATATGTGTATCGGGGTATCGAACGGATGAGATTCTAGACATGGCAAGTAGAAGGATTACCACCATATTAATAGGAACCTCTACGGCTGTGATTATTTGCGTCGTCATATGCCCTGTCTGGGCTGGCTCTGATCTTCACTCACTTGCTGCCACCAATCTTGAAACCCTTGCCGAATTTTTTCAAGGTATTATACAATTATACGTCGTATGTATATCTATCCTACTCCATCAATCTAATATCATATCATATCACTAATATATAAAGTCGGTCTCGCAGCCAGGCCACGAGACATCGTCACTTGGCATTTTAGTTTTTCGCCCAGCGAGTCACGTAAGCGATAAATAGGTATTATTGTGACACATAGGGTGCTAAGTAAGCGAACTTTGGATAGATTTTAAAGATAAAAATATTGTATAGTGTTTTATTATCGATATACTTCTAATATTTCATATATACAAAATTAATTATAACTTTTATTAAAATATCTTATAAGTCAGTACTATTTCCATCATAAAATTCGTTTTTATAAAGTTCTTTAAAATGAGATTCATTTATAATATATTTTAATAAAAAAATAGAAAATCGGTAAAAATAAGTTTTAATCAGAAAAAATAATTTTAGTTTGGTAAATATACTTTCATTTCATTAAAAATAATTTAAGTGCAATAAAAAAAATATCAAGTTAATAATAACATAGATATCTATTTACAAATAAAACTACGAAAATGTACATTATTATATAAATAAGCGATAAGATAATCGTATGCCTAAATATTTGACATTATCAATAGGGGTTATATGATCGTATTTAACATTCAAGCTAAAAAGTTTAGGACAATTCGGGCATCGCCCGGTAAAGCCGGTCTTGCATCCAAGCCACGAGACAACGACACTTGGCATTCCACTTTTTCGCCAAGTGTCGCGACACGTAGGAGATAAATAGGTATTATTGTGACACATATGATGCTAAGTAAGCAAATTTTGGATAGTATTTTTAAGATAAAATCGTTGTATAGAGTTTTATTATCGGTAGAATTCTAATATTTCATTTATACAAAATTTATCATAACTTTTAATAAATATCTTATAATTCAATTCTATTTCCATTATCAAATTCGTTTTAAAAAGTTCTTTAAAATAAGATCTATATATATATATATAAAGCTAAACTTTTAGCCAGGGCACAAGAAAACGACACTAGGTGTTTCAGTTTTTCGCCTCATGCCACGTAGGCAACAATTAAATATTAGTATGATATCAATGATTTATTTGGATATATTTTTTTATGAATAAAAATGTTGTATTTTTTAATAGGATAAAAAACTAGAATAGATTTTATTTTGTAGGATAAAAAAAGTTAGTTTAAATTTTATTTTCAAATTATTTTGATATATTTATAAGATAAAATTGTTGGTTCAGAGTTTTATTTCCGATAAAATAGCTAAATTTCACATGTACAAATAAATAAATTGTTAGCAATTTTTTTTGGAGATACAACATTCATTTATAATATATCCTAATCGATTGAAATAAAATACTTCATAATCTAATATGATTTTATTACTTTATGTAGAACTGTCAATTGGTTGGGTCATGGGTCATTTCGGGTCAAGTCACTTCAGGTCACGGGTCAAGAAATGTTCACACAAGCCCAAAATTTCGGGTTCGGGTCAACCCGACGAGCTTAGATCAATTTTTTTTTGTTTACTTTATTTTTGGCTAATGTTTTGAAATTTCTAATATTTTAAGCTTACTTTGCTATTTTTTTTATAATTTATTAAATGAAACATTTCACCAATATAATTATTAGTCTGCCTACTACATAATTTAAATCGTCACAAAATCACATCAATTTCTAACTAATTTTGTATCAATGATATATTTTAAAACTTGGTATATAGATAAAAAGTTTATCTTAAAATTTAATTAAACAACCCGGGCATCGCACGGGGCACCAAACTAGTATATATATATATATATATATATATATATATATATATATATATATATATATATATATATATATATATATATATATATATATATATATGTATGTATGTATATATATATATATATATATGTATGTATGTATATATATATATATGTATGTATGTATATATATATATATGTATGTATATATGTATATATATATATATGTATGTATATATGTATATACATATATATATGTATATATGTATATACATATATATATGTATATACATATATATGTATATATATACACACATATATATATATACACACATATATATATATATATACACACACACACACACACATATATATATATATATAAAGGGGAGTTTTTTCCCGACTTTTTAGAGAGCCATATAGGATTTAATTTTCTTAGCGCACCAAGTAGGATTATAAATTTTAGTTGAAGCCAATTAAATAAGAGATTATTAATTTCTTTTAGAATTAATTAATTCAAATGTTACTTAAGCAAAATTGGCAAATGAGATTTTTAAGTTTAAATTAATTAAATATAAATATTATATTTTGATATTTAGAAATTTATCTAAATATATAACAAATTTTAGCACATAAATACACACAGAAAAAATTGTTATATAAAATTCAAACAAACCATACATTGCACGAGCTTTATCTAGTTTTATCATAGTTATGTTAATAACTTGAAATCTTGTACAAAAATAAACTATGTACGTACGTGTACCTCAATTGACTACTCTAGTCTTGATCCTTGGGGATGTAATACGAAATATATTCTAGCCACGACATACATTTGTAACACAAGAACTAACACATATTGGTGACAGAATTCGGAGGTGAATACTTCAAAGCTTCTTCGGATGCATTCTCGAAGGACAACAATAAACTCACACTAGATAGATTAAAAAAAGTACTCGACTCCAAAAATAACGTAGATTCTTTGGTTAGTTTTTCTCCCTTTCTTCAGTGATTTTTTTTTTTTTTTTTTTTTGGTTTGATACTTTAATTTACCTAAGGCATATATCCGTTATAATGTAAGCAGCTTAATTTAGCAATGTGGGAGCCTCGGCATAGACACTTTAAGTATGATCATCCATGGACACAATACCAGAATATAAGTGAGTTGGCTCGGCGATGTGCTTGTAGAGCTGAAGTTCTCCACAGTTTCCTATTTACTCAAATCCAGGTACAAATTCTACTCTACACTCTTTATATCATATCGCCACTGCGTAAGTACATACCATCGCTTTATGACAGTTATACACATAAATCATAGGCCAAGTTCAACCCATAAAATTGTGAAGGACTGAAGGCAATATGTATAGATTAGAATGAATACAATTGGGAATATTTGTTATTCTTGTTATGCACAACTTAGATATGTCAAACGAGTCAAGTTAGGTAGTAGTGTTTGATTTAGTCCGTTAACGGCTTGAAGTGTTTTTTGGTACCAAATTTTACTAGGCTTACAAGGTTACTAAACTTTTGTTGGGTTTGGCTTGGTAAGGTTAGTGCATTGGTTTAACTACATTGTTGTGCTATGTATAGAAGGTTGGGTTAGGTCAGATCGGGTCAATTTTTGCTAAGACTAGACCTACATTAGCTACATAAGTACATAGTACATACTATTGTATTGTATAGTATGCTTACTTCATTTAATTATGATGGATGAACATGCAAAGGCGCCAACAGAAGTGAAGGTCAAGTTCCGTGAAACATGCATGACGATGAGCACAGAATCAGGAAAAGCCCTGAAGGAACTATCGTTGGCAATCAAGAGAATGAACCAACCTTCTAATGCTAATCACCACGTCCAAAATGCCATACAAGCAGCTCAAAATCTATGTCCCTTGTTAACATCAAACATATGGGAAAATCTCAATCTTTCAGATGTAACACCAGCAGCCACAGTTGCCACCATACTAGCAGATGTAGTAGCTTGCACCGAGGAGATTGCTAAGGCGGTCCAAGAGCTTGCATCCCTAGCCAAATTTAAAGACAAGAATAACGCCGTCATGGAAGGTAGGGTCGCGTGTGGAATCAACAGAACCAAATTGGCTAATCAAGGATCAATTAACAGAAGTTATCTTAGTAATAATCAGTTGATTATAATTCATGATGGGGATTTATCCCCACTTTGTTCACCGAAAATTTCAATATCGGATCAGGATCCGCCTTCCTTGGCTATGGCTCAACAAAATGCAGAGTAACTGAGTAACATTATAGTCATTTAGAGTAGTTTGTTTGACCACTTGTATTTTTTTTATTTTTGATTATTTGGTACATGTAACACCTTGGGGCCTGGCGCCCTCCCCCAGAGATCATCCTATATCCCACGCATTTGCACGAGTAAAATCTTGTATATCTAACAACGATGAAAATAATATAGACATGGCACACAGATGAAATAACATCTTACTAATTGGAATCTCTACAGGTTGTGAATCTGTGATTGTCCTGTATAGGCTGGCATTCATCTTTACAAAGTTAATGCTTCTGATTTATACAGATTACAAGTTAAAATATAAAATCATTCTTCCAAACAAATTATAGTTCATTTTGCAAAGATATATACGAAAAGGTAATATATAATCATCTCAACAAAGGAACAAAGTTTTATGGAAATTTTGTATTAATTACCTCAAATACTGAACAAGGTTTGGATGAAAATAATTACAATTGTGATGGGTCTTAATCCCATATCATCACAACTGCAATGACAGCAACTCCAAGAAGAACAGCAAAGAATCTATAAAATGGGGTGTCAAAGTAACTGGGAGAATGTGGCTTATAACCTTTGGAAATGAGATGATTTATAGCAACATAGATGAATATCCCGGTAGCAAATCCCATGGAAATGGCGTAAGTCCAGTCAGCTGTAGGGCCTTCGGTTGTTGCATCAATGGCAATTCCAATTCCTATACCGATAGGACTTGAAATCGCAAAGGCAAAAGAGTAAGCAACGGTTGCCAAAAATGGCCGCTTTGGGATCATTCTTAAGAGGGCAATCCCCATTGCAATGGCCGCGAAAACTTTGTGCAGGGCTATAGTCCATAAGTTCTTCCATGCATCTCCTTCATTATCTGTACCCCCAAAATAATTTTGTCTTTCTAGTGAGAATATAATTTAACGGTTATGATATACGCAGTCTTAAGAACTAAGTATAACTGCTATAAGCATTCTATATATTTCCTACATTGGGAATTGTTTAGGAATTGAATTTTATAACAAAAACAACACAAACTTAGAGGCGGGAAAATTAAATATTGAATTAGGTTAAAGTTAGTAAGTTGGTTACCTGCAATTCCAACAGCAATGCCCTCAAAAATAGAGTGAAAACAAAGAGCAACTATGAGAAGAACAGAGTTCCCAATTGATGTAGTTCTTATGAAGATCGGGCTGTGCTCCATCGCTTCGTCTTTCTCTGGCTGCTCCTCATCTCTATGTTCTTCTACTGCCACCCTCTTTTTCCCTGCGCTTTTCTTGGCAACGTACATAATTATGTAATCCCCGAACATGGTAAGGACGTATCCAGCACAAGCCAACATGAAAGCAAATGGATATTCAAGGGATGTTAGGTTCGAAAAAACAGAAGAGGAATCACTTAAGAAATGCATCATCGCTGTTCCAAGGAAGACTCCTCCAGCAAACTGAGTCCCAAGAACGAGAAAGTTCTCGTTCCATCGTAAGAAGTAGGGGGAGACTCCAAATACAAAGGTGCTAACAAGAAATATGACTAAACACCATATTTTAACTATGACAAGCTTCCTTGAATCGACATTCTTGGGAGTACTACTAGATTCGTCATGACTGACTGGACTATCTTCGTGATCATGACTAATACCACCATGAGCATCGATCAAAATAAATTGAATCGAAAGAATGAGTGTTACAGCAATAACAAAAGAAGTCGATTTGAGAGAAGAGATGGAAGTCATTGTATGTATGCAGCTCCTTATTCCACCCCTTTGTCCCTCTCAATGGCTAGAAGTCTACAAAACTTGATTTAGTAATGCCTATTTATTCATCAATTAAACTCAGGCTTAACTTGTGTGGAGGTCATTCGACCTTCATATTTGTAGTACTGCATTGACTTTACAAAAATTGTACTACACAATTTGTAGATTAACAATTTGTCAATATCATAATTAGGCTGGGTTTGGGAGAATATTTTATGTAATTTAGACTTACATTATTTTGTAGTCTAAATTATGTAAGACCAATGTTCAAATATTTTCTGATATATTAAAGGAAGACTTAATCAAACCAGTCAAGAAAGGCATGAGTCATGCTGTTTTTGTTCCCATAATTGCTATGCTAGTCCACCATCAACTACCTGAAAAAGACTCATCTAATCCTAAACATAATTTCAATTTCTGATTTCAAAAATATATACTTGTATATATTAAAAAGCTAAAAATAAAATTATGTCATACAGTAACCTCACCCTTTGATGAAAACAATGACAGATATGAGGACGGAGAGTCTGTGACATGGTTGCCATGACACAGTTTGACTTTGAAGCGTTTTCCACCTTCATTCATCTCATCTAGTTCTGCAGATCTTTCAATATCACAGTATATAACGCAATTGTCATATGGGAGACTTTCACTTTCCAAATATAATATATGATGACAGACAAGATCATCTTCAGCAGAGCAACATTGACATGTTTCCAATACAAAAAATTAAAGATTATGATGCTAACAAGCTAGATGCTTATATGTCTTTGCAGGAATTACAATTCACTCGGTATTATGAAGAACTGAAACAAGTCGATCACTAATTGCAAGTTCTACCATGTAATACACCAGTTGCTATACACAGGACATGGCTAGAGAGCCCTTGAGGTAAGTCATGTACAGGTAATCTATGTCTAATACTATATTATGCTGGAGTATATAGAAACTCAAACCATATCAGAAACATCATTACTTTCCAAGACACCTTGCATTTCAGATCCTATTCTTAGTTTGCATACGGGGCATGTGCCTTGTTGCCTCAACCATGGATCAATGCAATTGGAATGGAACTGCAAAAAATGGAACATGGAGGCATTCAATTCTTATTCATATAGCAGCATTCGGCAACATCAACAAGAAGAAATTGTTTAAACTATGATATATCAAAAAATGTTGACTGTAGAGCATAATTTCTGGTCAAATATGCTTTTAGAAGTTTCTAAATTGAGGGTGTAGTGCATAAATCAGTGAGATGAATCACACACCTGATGTAAACATGGTAAGGTGCGCAGGAGTTCTCCTCTCTTCACTTGCTCCAAGCATATAGTACAAGTAAGATCTTCTTCTGTACCCTTTGTGCTACTAGCATCTTGCTTTAGCTGTTCAAGAAACAGACACAAGATATATCATTTATTATTACGGAGTACTATACTAATATAGAAACAACAAAGCATTTTTACTCAGCAATAATTCACAGTTCAGAAAAAAATGTGTTTGAATAAGAGGGGATTTGAAGAGAAAGGAAGAAGAGAGAAAGCAATTGATCCATTTTCCTTTAATTGGATGTGGCTCAGGAAAGAAAAAGGGAAGAAATGGCCTATTTGCCAAATGGGTTTATTTCAAACACCAAAAAAACCGGCAACTGATCGGTATTTTATAAAGCCCTGTTGCCCACATGACTCGTTTCCATAGGTATTCATTTTGGAGCTTACCTTGCGAACATAGCCCATTTATGATTATTTTTCCCCTTATCTTTTCAACATCCTCATTTCTCCCTACTTTTTCTTCCATCTCCCTTTCATTTGGAAATCAAGCTTTCATTACACATACAAATATTGCAGTGGATCATTAATAAATCATCAAATAGTGTGCAGTCATTTTATCTTGTTTTATCTAGGATCCTGCTTTAAATTGCCCATATTTCTCATTCTTTCCTAACTACAAATCTGAAATATTAAGCTGTGAGAACAGATAGTCAAGAGAATCTTTTGAGACAGCAAGTGCATTAAGACAAGCACCTAATGGAAATGATGAAAAATTCCACAATAATACAGGACAAGCACCTCCTACGGTTTTCAATTGAGGCCAGGGGAACTGTCAAGTGCATAATCGAATGAAGGGGAAGGTCCATGTAAATATGTAAAGAATTAAGGTTACACACTTACACTGTGCATAGTTCCAGTGTTAAGAATTTCAAAGCCACTAAATGCATTAAATTGGTACTACTTTATATTTACTCAGCATTAGCATGAACCATAACTGTAAACAAAGAAGAAAGGAAGAATGCAAAACAGGAGTGACAAAATCCCTCATAGCCACTTGAAATCTTGATAACACAAAGGCTAATAGATAACTGATTAACTTCTCTATAGTTTAACTGAATAGATCCTAGCACAGTATATTTACAATTTTTTGTTTGGAAGCAGGGGACTTATTAATTATATAAACCCATGCATGATTACGTTGGAATGCACAGATGCTCACAGAAAGAGGAAAACAAAAGTGTTTTATCAAAATGCCCACAGATGTAAGATAACATAGCGTCACTACAGAAGAACCAAGAAAGATGATATAACAGAAGGCAACAATTTCCCCACAAGTATAGTAGTACATCAAACAAGGTAAAGGATGAAATACCTCAGGGGACATTGATGAAGATGAAGCCTCTTGTGATTGTGTAACCTCGCTAATAAGAATGCCAAGAAATTATATGAGATGGAAATACAATGAGCCAAATACAACGCTACTAATGTACAATTTAATTTCCAATCATTACACCATCCAAAATATTACTTATTTTATATTATAAGAAGCATTAAACTCTTCCGGGTGCAGAAGATAATTGCAAGATTATCACTGAATATATGCATATTGAGTTGCCGAATAAATACTGAAAATCTAAGTACAAGCTACTGCATACTATGAGTAGGCAAGAGTGATATTTGGCAACATACTGAAGATTTTTAAGTAGAAGCTACTAACATATGTAATTCAGTATAACAGAATCAAACTAATTCAACTAGGGGGAAAAAAACAAAAAAAAAACCTGCAGGCCGACTTCATAACTAAGCCACTGTAATTTAAATACAATTTAACCAAACTACCAGCACTCATTGATAATAAAGTGTACCATACCACTCTGGTCCTGTGCCATTATACTTGTGGACTGGTAAGGCATTTATTTCTTCTTCACTCATTGAAGGAATGTTCGAGACATTGTCAGCATCCAGTGCTCTTAATGCTTCATAATCTACAACATAATTTTGGAGAACTTCATGCCTAATAATGCATCATATTGACAAACCAACTAAAAAATACAAGTTTGTTTGGAAGATACAATGATATAGGAATTTGTAATTCATGAATTTGTAGTGTATATTATACCAATATTACCTAGGTCATCAAATTCACGATCCAGAAGTGCAAGCTGAAGCCTCAGTCCTTGTAGTCGCCCTCTGCTTGCTAAAGCTATGGACGGTGGCATCTGCAAACGGAACTCAGTATGTCCAAATAAGCCACTAGCGGCTGCAGCATGAGCTTGAGCTTGAACTTGCAATTGTTGACAAGTTGCATACATCCTTAAGCTTGTTGCGATCAGAAACACACCAAGAACCAGCCAGAGCTGCATGTAGTCAGATTACACGGCTCAAGTAAGTGGCAGCAAACACAAGTACAGATCACATATATTACAGTAATAGACAACAAGACGTAGTTGGAACAAATTACCAGAAAATTAGGTGACATCTGATGGGTATTTAGAATTGTGAACAACAAAAGAACTGCAAAACAATAAAGAAAGTGAAAGTTAGGTATTAGTCATATTAAATTATAAACAAGAAATCTCAATTCAGTCTAATGACATAGCATAAACCTTACCACTTACCAGTGACAAGAAAAGCCAACGAATTTGTATTTACAGGCCGAACTGGGTGAATTCTCTGTTGCACGAGAAAATGCAAATAGGGTTAAAAAAAACTAATCCAACATAACACCCAATGTAATTCTCAACAAGTAAAGACAACCACATAAAAAAAAAAAAAAATTTAAAAAAATAAAAAATAAAAAGAACATCAATCATGAACAGATAAGAAAACATACTACTGAGCGCCTTTCCGAAACTAATCCTGATAATCCATTTTCGATATCTCCTCGGCTACCACGGAAAACAAAACTCATGTTTGCAAGAGTAGCAAACAGCCTATACGCCTAGCACTTAGCAATGCCTGCAAAGCGCCGAGAATGACAAATAAGTTTTCATGTTCAGAACTTGCATATGAAATAGCATCCAGCAGCAACACATAGATTAGTGAGAAACAATGTGAGCCAACTACTAAACCACACACATATTAAGTTCAGATATATAACCTCATTGTCCTCAAATTCATAGCCTTTTTATCTGTTATAAAACACACAAAAAACTTCCCTTCCCATTTAGAATCACATCAAGGTCAATTACAGAAAAAAAAAATTGTAATTAGGCATTCAGGCACTTAAAATATACTTATACTGCAAACCACAAAGCTCATAACTTTTGCTATAAATTTATATAGAACTTAAATTTTCATAATTGGGAAGAATAGTACCATCTCCAAACATACAAATTAAGCATGCGACAAACTTAACCTAATCAAATATACTTTCAATTTCATTATATTGGTAATGTTGATTCTTTAATGTAATCATCGATAATGCAGCATTAATCAGCTACTTTTCTCATATGATGCAAAATAATTGCACCATTATAACCCATCAAGATATAATTGAACATTAATTGAACAATTTCAAATGCAGATATTAATAAACAGAGGAATACCCAAAATTAATAATTGCCCCAATTTTACAAATTTGAGGATGGGCAAAAAAAGAGAGGAAGAAATACCAAATTTCAAACAGTTTGCTGGTAATTCAAAAACCCACCATTAAAGTTGCAAACTTTGAACAATAACATGAATAATTAAACTGGAAAATTTACTTAC